GTTATCCTTCTTTTATTCTTTAAAATAAAAAATAAATAAATAAAAATAAAATAAAATAAAATAGAGGCCCAGGAGGAGGGAGAAAGAAAAAAGCAAAACAGAACATACGCATACGCACACACACGCACTCCAGTTATAGTGACGCTCTTGTGCATCTTGCATTTCTGAGCAGAAAATTTGTCTTCAGAGAAATTTTCCAGAAGAGTCAAATGATTTTGACATCTAATTTTTCGTACTTAAAATGTTTAAACCTGTTTCTCTGTCATCCCAGTTTGTTTGTACTAATTACAATAGGTGAAAAAAAAAGACAAATACCATTGAAGCATTAAAGTCAAAAATTTAAAAATCTTTTGCAATTCTTTAGCACCCCACCTTTTTAAAACTATGGAGGAAGAGAAAAACCATGTATGTGGGCCACTTCCATTTTCTTGCCAACCAATGAGGTTATTGGATAAGAACTCTTCCAGATCTCATATTCTTCTATTCTGTAATAGGGCTTGGCAAATTATAGCCTAAAAAGGACTTTTACAAGTTTAATTAGTTGCAAAACACCAGCAACAAAGGATAAGCAGAAGATGCCATTGTGGCCCAGCCAATCTAAAGTACTTACTATCTGGTCTTTGAGAAAAAAAGTTTGCTGACTTCCAACTTTATACTAAAGGTGCATTACACCTTACACCGCAACTGAAAAGTAACAAGGTGCCATTTTCCAGATTACGAAAAACAACATCCTTGTGATTTTCAGAAAAATTTTGATTTTCCAAAAAGCTTGTGATTTTCAGACACCACACATTGTTGTCAGTAGCACTAAAAATACAACTCAAGTCACCTGAGTCTCAGCCTTGACCTAAAGGGGACAAAGAAGGAGGGAAGGAAAGAAGAAAATTGGGAAAAGTTATGAACCTGCTCCTGTGTGATGTCCATCTGAGTCTGACTCAAAGAACTTGCACCCAATTCCCAGGGCTTCTCTAATAAAAGTAACTAATCCAATCAAGCCTCAGGCCTTTGGGTTCATGGAGGCTGCCAAAAGCATCAAACAACGGAGCCAGGGCTTACAGCTCAGGCTGAATTAACTGACACTGTGTCCTTTCTGTCCAGAGCTGGACATATTCATCTGCCAGGGGCATTAAGACTCTGTAGGAGGTTAAAAGTGTGGGTGGATGCTCTCTGTCAATTATTTAATATTTTACTCCTTTGGGAAAAGAACTAGGCCTATTGTAAAATTCTTTCTCTGGAAGACCAAAGGTTTTCCAAAGGTCACCTAGTCCTAATGTTTTATTCGACCAGCCAACTTTGGTTTATTATAATTATGTAGTTCACTGGTCACTATATTATTACTTTAATTAATGAGTTTTATTAAGTGCCCACCTGGGCCAGAGACTATGCTAGATCAGTTACATTAAGCAGATTCTTTAATTTTTACAACTCTTAGAAGTATTTTTACCTGTATTGTAACACAAAGAATTGACACCAAAAGAAATTAAGTAACTAATGGTCATTCAAAGACATGATGGCATTAGGACCCAGAGTAGTATGGGCTTCTCAAGCACAGAAGGAAAGGATGCTGTTTCACTTAGCCATGACCTCTGTGGTCACACTCTCACCCAGTCTAACATGCAGCTAAAAATACGCATGAGTGTCAGAGATCCTGAGTTGATCTG